TCGTCATTTTCGACACGCTATTTCAATCCTTCCTCAACGGCACTGAAAACGTGAAGTTACGTGTCAAACGCTTTTAAAACACGATACGTTAAATCGCCTTTGTGAAACTTGATAATTAGTTTAGCGTTAATTAATTCGGTTTATTGTCCTCCCTGAGATGACGGTCGATGATCGTTAATAGTGACAGCGTGTCCTGCGGACACAAAAGAATTTTCCGCACGATCACCATCGTTAAAGACTTACGTCACCGTGCAGTTATACGAGCTGGGAGAGCATCCAAGTCTCTTTTTTGTCCCTTATCGTTTCGCAATAATTCTTTCCCGCGTCGTGGCACGCGAGATGGCAAAATCACGGCCCGCATTCCTCTCGTAAATTTATATCTTGTCTTTTTCCGCCAGCTATGAGCGCGTGGATGTGATTTTTTTATGATGACATTGATACGAAAAAGTATAATGTTCAAACGGCGAGATGCGGGATGTCTTTTGTCATAGTTTGCATATTAATATATTTAGAAGTTTTTTGATATTATATGCCGGTTCGCGTTATTTTGTGACAACGTTATGTTAAAATAGCGAATGTTAAAATTAAAATTTGTGCTATTATCACTATTTTGGAATGACGCGATAAGAGAATAATTTTTTATGTCGAAGTAAAAACTATTTAATTAATTGCGGTTTTATATTGCAGTTTATAAGAAGTAATCTCTCATGCACGTTTTTTTTTTCAAAATTATGAACTAATAACGAACGTATTAAGTAGACCTTAAAATGAGTCTTTTCCTGGTAGCAGCGCATAAAAAAAAAATACGCGAGATCGCATATAGATATGCGCAAAGTTTCCCAGTGATATCGGAATTAATGCGTTCTTAATTAATACGCCCATTAATGCTCGCCTTAAATTCGTAGTGCGCGGAAGTTTTACTGCATCATCAAATTGCTGTCTCGGATGCTCGTGCAGAGTTTCAAAGCGCTCGCCCCCGTGTCTCCCCGAAGTAAAAGCGACAGGGAGGCTGCGATCGGACTCTTAATGGCTATAATAATCCAGTGTTTTGAATCGCTCTTGTCATTAGTTTGAGCAACTCTTCCGGTTTCTCGCGCTTTGGCGAAGCTCCAGAAGTTATAGAAAAGAAAATGAGAAAAGAGACGACGGATACGTTTGCTGAGCTCTGCGACGAATTTTATCATAGATATGAAAGAATTTTGGCATGTTTTCGTCGTAATTACTTAAGAATTAATTACTACAAGTAATTAATTACTACGAGTAATTAATTACGACAAACAGAGGCTGTTCCTTCTCAACGTGCACATAATGAATTATCTAACATCAAATTAAACTTTATTACAATTTTATCATACGCATCCACCGTAATTAAAATCATGTAATTCCGTCTAATTCGGTGTTTTTGACGATAAATATTTTCAAATACGCATATTCTGGCACAAATGCCGATCTGGATCGCGTCCACAAAAGGATGAACGCGAAAGTGTCGTTTAAAAAAAAAAGGTTTATATCCATCCGACGATATCAAATTCCGTGGCACAATGCACACTCGAGAGTTTATCCGCATAAACGCCCGTTTTTGCTCGTATAACATATACCTGTAACTTCGCATAGGTCGTTGTTAGCGTGAATGCTTTATTTTACTCAGTCAATCAATCCATTCCCTATTAACCCCTATTAACCATTTAGTACCTCGATAGTTATTATGTAAAGTCACGAATAAAAAAAGCATAGGTACAACTCCCCAAAAATTACTTTCTTTTTTGTTTCTATAATATCATCATGAACACAGATTTGAATGTAATACATATCCCTTTTTATAAGTTTCAGAATTTAATAAATTTTGCAATGTACAATTATAAAAGCGAGAAAAATTATATAGATACATCTTTATCAATAGTTGAAAATATTGTAACAAGAGAATAAAAAGGGTCAGATAATACAAACAAGGATCGTCGAGGACGTAATAAAGAAACGTCCATTCTTGGTCCGCTTCCGGTGGCAAAGCGGGGCACGTCAGGTAGTTCACCCTGTTTTCGGTGTTTCGCAAACTTTTTGGTCGCGCAATTCGCGCGTTCCCCCGAGCTACCACGAGACAAACAGCATTAACTTCTCTTGCGACGCTCTCGAATAAAGTTACACAGATTTGTCACGAGACAAAAAGCGAGCACGTTCCGCCCCCATAACCGGGGGTTGGCTTCTAGGTTTCTTATTCGGATTTCCTAGACGCCTGAAAAGTGGCTTCCTTCGGGCCCTTTATGTTTTCCTCTCTCGCGTTTCGCCAACTTCCTGTCGCAGCTTCCGCTTCTTCCCGCATATATAGGAAGTTCCAAAAAAATCCACATAACGTGAGCCAGAAAGTATTTTCTGAAGTATTTTGAAAGGGCTTTTTCTTCGTCGGAATCGAAACCGAGACTCATTTATGTCTCCAACCTAACAAATAAACACTGAAACTTTCTCGACTTTTCTCACAACAGAAGACGCAAGCTGTCGTTGTTTTAAGATATCTGTCGCGTGGAAATGATAGTTTCAAGGAAAAAAGTACATTAGATTTCGATGACAATATGAATCCTCTTAAAAAATTGCATGATCGTCTCTCTCACGAGCGAAAAGTATTTCGTGAGGATTCTCTAAAGGAGTCAAAGGATTGTGATGTGTAAGAAACGTCTCACTACGCGAAAAACAAGAAGCCCAATTTGATGTACTTAGAATTGTATATCTTTAACAATGCGAAAAACATTTTGAAATAACGATAACTTATTTATTCTCAATTCTGATAAGGAAAAAATCTTATTATACGACATTTTCTACGACTTCAAAGATTTGTTTAGTCACAAATATCAGAAATATAAAAAGTCGCAAATAAGACTCAGCTATCTCAGAACTTCGTGATTTTTTTTTTCAAAAAAATAACGAGGTTATTCCAATATCATTGGATGTTTCTTTAATCGCAAAAATCAAAAGTTTCGTAGATATGATCCGGATATTGGAAAAGAGCGCTGCTGTATTCCAGCAATACATGTACAGCTCTTTCAGCTATTGATGTCAGAAGTCAAGAATTTCCTAAATAACGTCTAGACACTTGAAAATAATTCTGGAGAAGCCTGGATGCGTTCAGTCTAATAACAAGCGGATTCTTGCGGGCTTGAGAGATTGCAAGTGAAACGTTCGTGGCGTATCCAAAGGGGGTAAAAGTAATTTCGGGGCATGATTCGATGTAAGTAAATACCATCCTCCCGGCCGTGCATAGAATTCCAACGGCATCGAGAATCTCCTAGGTACCTCGCGCTATCGCCATCGTCTTGTCTATTCGCGAAGAAGCGCCGGCGGCTGTTTCAATGCCATGAGAATGAAATTGCAGAGAGAAAGAGAGCGAGGGTGTATGTACTCGATGGGATGGAAGAAAAGAGAGAGAGAGAGAGAGAGAGAGAGAGAGAGAGAGAGAGAGAGAGAGAGAGAGAGAGAGACGCGGAGTGTGTTATCATCTTTCTGACGTAAGAAAAGAGGATGTATCGAATTCGGCATGTAAATTACTCGCGTGTATGTTCGATCTCCAGAATGCGATTTCTCCTTGGACGTCGAAAACACTGTGGCTGAATCGGGAAAAATCGAGGAAGACTACGTCACTCCAGACAGGATGATGTTTCATCTTTTTCCTGTACTAAGTTAACGATAATTAGCGAGGCCGCAACTCGCGGTCGTTTCTTTTTCCCGAGGTTTCCTCGCGGTTTTCTTTCATTAGCGCGAGATCCAACCGACAACTCTCTTTCTCTCTTTCGAGAGACAGAGAGAGAGGGAAAGAGAGAAAGAGAGAGAGAGAGTGTGCGCGGCTTTCGACCTGCGCCGTGTATCTCAGTCGGGGTTACTTCGAGTCTTCGCCATTAGTACGCAAGTAAAGGCTATTTTCAACGACGAACTCGTAACCCGATACACGAGAGCGGCGGGGGCTGCGGCGCCTCCGCTAAGGAAAAGCTCCCCCGTCTTCCTCCTCCTCCCGAAGAACGAAGGAAACGACGTTCTCTTTAATTATTCTCCGCCATGTGCCGCATGCTAAAATCATTAAATTGCTCCGGCGATAGATACGAGGATGTATCAAGTGTCTAGTGGCTCCTTGACAAAAATTTGAAGTAAATTTTCCCCTCGGAATAAATTCGATCAGACGTCATTCTCTTCACAACTTATCCGGTCCCATGTTAGACACGTTAATTAATAAGTTTTGGATTAAAATTCTGATAAAGTCGAAATTAGCGCGCGGGATAAGATTTTCACTCAAAAGATGAATTTCAAGATCGGAAGATCGTGTAAGATTTCAATATTCATTTTGCCTCTCGGATCAAAATTAAAATAACATTATTTAAAAATTATAAAAAAGTAATAATAATATTGTTTGCTGTTACATTCGCGTTCAACATAATTTACAAAGATATTATAGCTGCGTCAATGTTATGTTAGCCGTAAAAGAATTTTGCATACTTTTTATTTTGGAAAGAAGAAAAAAATATCTCTGAATATTATTATTGGTTGAAAGATGCACTTTGCCTCATTATTTTATCAAATTTCGGGATTATAACTTATACTATAGGAGAGGCTATTTGGGTCAGAGAGAAAAAGAAAAATCGGATAACATTTCAAGACGGGGAAGAACTTTTCAATTTTCAAAATAGGGAAGGCCTCTTTGATTTTATCTTGAAAATTTTTTACCCGATTTTTTCTTTAACTAATTCAAACAGCCCCACCTTACTCTATCTGTTCATTCAAGTAAACATTGCCAATTCCGAATAATCCTCGCGGGTGCAAGGTCAGAAAAAGCAGCGACATTTTCTCGTTTACTCCTTTTCTTGCGCTTTCGAAAGTCATCTCCGTCATGACGCCGACGCTGATGCCGATGCCGATGCCGACGACGAAGACGACGACGACAAACGACGACGACAACGACGACGACGCCCAAAAATAGAGACGGTATTAGCGCGTAGACTCGTTTCGCACGGCTCACCGGACCGCGTCGACTTTCGCGGATGTGCAACGTCTTCGGCTGCCAGTAATTTTAGACGCCAGAGAGTCGGCCGTCGCGACCAAGTTCTTCGTCTCGGAAAGTCGCCCGGTAGAAGTGACACCGTAAGTTTATATCGTACGTGCGAGATATGCAGCCCGAGCGCTCCGTTAAACTTCTCCCCGGGAAAAATGGATTCCGAATTCACCGAGGAATCTGTCGTTGACAGACGCGCAAGCAGCTAATGCCGCGAAGGGAAGTTGGACGTTCAACTTGCGTGAGGATCCACGAGCGTCTCCGCAGACTGTTAGGCAGTGGAGCGAGATGTGTTGTAACGTGTCGACAAGCTAGGTGACAAGTTTTCTAATCTCCGCTATCCGGATTGATATCCCGATGACGCAAAATCCGTTATATAAATTTTTCATAAAAAATGTTATAAAATAAATCATGCTTGAGAAGTCCATTAACTGTCAAGTGATGTAAGTTTATTTTGGCATTTCTAATAAAATGTAAAAGTTTCTTGGAATTATTCTCGACACCGGCGTTTTTTACATAAATACACCGAACACAGAGGATTTGTAGGTCCCAAAGTGGGATATCAAGAGGATTTTCAAATAAGAATTATCGTTACATTTTTCTGCCGTTTTCCTGCAACGCGAAAATTGGACTCGCGCCACTTGGGAGCCGGAGAATTTGCAACGCCGCTCGGCGAGGCTGTTTGTCGGGATGTATTTCGGTATCACATCATCAAAACAGCATTCTTGACCGAATTGCAACGATGTATGCGAAGCGTGATGATACGAGGACGATATATCGCAAATATAGTGGGACCGAGTTTGCGCTGATCCCGTAGCTCGAGTCTCATTCATGAGAGCCATCTGATTTCCGCGCGACGTTCCGCGATTCATTGGCAAAGCTCTCTCTCTCTCTCTCTCTCTCTCTCTCTCTCTCTCTCTCGTAAAAGGTTTGCGCTACAACGCGGAGATTCCGTCGACGGTATAATGCAAGAGGCAAGCGATTACAAGGTAGTCGCGTGATCGATCGGTGACATAAACGACGACGAGTATAGTAAAGTATAAAATTGATATTAATCGCCGCGCTCTGTGCGCGATACTAAAATCGCAGAGGCACTGGCCGCACGCCAGCAGCCATTATCGTCGTGCATATCTTTCTATAAATAATACCGCGAGACGTATGATCCTGTAATTCAGCTTTCGCGCATTTACGATACTGTATTTATCATCGTTGTTAACGGTGTCCACGACCGTAACGCCATTAGTACCGGGAGAGAATCGTCATTGACGTTGATCGTTGCCGATAACGATCGTGTTAACGATCGACGGCGCGACACCTCGAGAATTAACGTCGACAGCGGTCCAACTTTGTTTTCGCACGAAGAAATTCACCAGAAATTAGACATCTGCTTGGTCGCCAATGGCAGCTGCCAAATGTCCCACCCCCGAAATATCGCGACATACCGTTACGTCGGATTTACAATCTGGTCGATATATGGTGAGTGTAATCGTTGACGATGAGGTATAGAGTTAACATCAACACGGCTGCTGACGTAATGATATCTTCAAAAAGTCACTTTTTGGTGAAGAAATCACTGAATGTTAAGCACGATAGCGCTACTAAAGACTATATAAAGATTTCAATTGCGAAAGCATTTGTAAAATGCGAGATAAACATGAGGTGTATGTATTTCAAATGGGTAAAAAAGGATTTTTTTTTAAACACGACTTTTCTTGAAACTTTTATTTTTGCCGCTTAGAACTTTCCTTGTGTCATGTCTGATTACGCCGCGAGGTAAGTAAAAATATTGAGTTACGCGCGGTGTTTCATCACAGAGAAATTCATAAAATTAACTGCTTCTTTTGCAGGAATTTTTAATTTTAAATTCGTTATAAAATGGTATTCAAATAATCTTTTATAAGGGTCATTAATTTTATCAAAAAAATGAAGATTAAAAAAAATTTTCTTTATTTGACTTAACTTGGTATTTTTATTAATTATAATTGTCACGACAATACTATTGATTTTGATCAGTTATAATCGCCACGTCGTTTCGACCATGAGATTTTAATTAATAAAGACAGCCAATTAGGTCGAATAAAAAAATCTTTTCTGTTAATTATTCACTGGTGAAGTAGAAGTTACTGATTTGGTTATACACCGTTAACTTAAAAAAGATTGGTGTCGATCTTATTATTGTTTATTCACTTTAACACATTAAATTTATTGCGATAAATATCACTGCACGTCTCAATGGTTTAGATGCCCGTACAGAATGTAGGAAGGTTCAGATTCGAATCCTGGCTGAGGTGATATTTTTCGCAATAAATTACTGTGCCATGTAACGAAGCTCTCCACTCCGCTTTGAATGTCCACCTTTGGTTTGCGTCTACCAAGAGACACGAGAGATCACGTGCACGCCTTTGTACGGCACAGAAGCAGAAGAAAGCGGAGAAGAACATGAAGATAAAGAAAACGAAGGGTAGGAGGAGAAGAAGATGAAGGAGAAGGAGGAGGAGAGGAATGAGACAGAGAGGCCTGGGTAAGTTATCACTCGAGTCTGGACCAGGAATAGTCACACCATGTGGTGGCAGCCGTGGGACTGACTATTTTCGGGTAAAGACAAATTTGGCGCGGCGAGGCGCTACGCGAGGGAGCCGAGAAGCTGAGCTGAGCCGAGCCGAGCCGAGCCGAGCCGTCGCATGGTAGCCGTCTCGAGTGTAAGCTTACATCTGCACACGACGACGACGAGGGGGGTGTCGGCTCCTCTCGTCACTCGAGAGGAAAGGCCAATGGGATCTGTGCAGCCATTTTTAGAGGGCTCGTTCCGAAGAGACCGTGCTAGAAGCTTTGGTAGCATTCAGTCCGAAGCGGTCACCCGGGTTGGCAGGATTCGAAGTCTCGAGGAAGTCAGGAACTTTCTCGATGATCGGCCGCCAAGTAATAATTTCCCTGTTGGAAGAAACCAGGTGCTGAGCCGAAAGGATCTTCCGGGGTACGAGGGGGTACCAGCGCTCCCGACGCGCCAGGTACTCCTCGTTGGAGTGTGTTTCAGGATCTTTCAGGATCCGCAGTACGAATTACCGGTGCATTCGCAAAGGGAGATTGTTGCGAGAAGTGTCGTATCCGGCAGCAGTTGGGACGAAATAGAAAAGCTCTCACTTCGAGAGCAAGTCGGAACTTGGATGACCTAAGCTTTGCCTGTAGTACCGGGCGACCGTTCCGTGCTTCCTTACTTCCCATAGTGAATGTGACGTATGGAATGTAAAGAAGTATGGAGCTGCGTCTTGGTGAATCGTCGCGAGGAGGAAGTCATCGTCGGAGAATCGAGGGATTTCCGGAGTTGTCGTCGACATTGACGAAAACGGAGACTCGTGATGATCGGAAAGGGCGAGGATAGGAACAAGGATCGAAAGGATAATGGCAGAGAAGATAATAGTGCCGCGTGAAGGAGTTAGTAATAAACGGTGCGAAGATAAAATTTTGCGGGCTTGCGTCTTCCGCGCTACGGATTCTGGGATCGGCAGCAGCCAGCCGCCAGAAATAGATTGCTTTCGCGTAACCAACACCGATATGGCTCAGGCATCATTCCACGTACATATGGTCCTTCGCGACCTCTATTTATGGCTTTGCCGCTACCATGTGGTCACCACTTTTATTACCCTCACGAGCTCTTTCGTCATTCTTAGCGCGATGACAGAGACCTCGTCGTATCTTCATATCCCTCTTCGTATCGCTCGAGTTGATAGCTGATAGCTCATCTTTTCGCTAAATTATCATTTACATTAATGATTAATCGCGTCAGATTTTCCATTTGTTCCCTCTGATTTTCAATCGCTCGATTTGATTGCAGAGCGCCGAGGAGGGCGAGACACGGAAGAAAACGGGCGAGCGGGCGAGGAAGAGAACGCAACAGCGGCTGGACGCTGTTTTCGAGCCCGAAATAGGACCCCACGTACAACCGCGGCCATGTTTCCAGAAATAAGTTCTCCGGTTACAGAGTCTATTTCCGGTGTGCGGGCCGCCGACCGGTGCCCGGTTGCGCGGCGATCGGTGACGTATTCAGCTGCAGGTGCAATCTCGCGTATTGCATAGAAATACCATATCGCGCGGTATCTGGTTTTGGTGCTCGAAAAAAGATTCAGTGTCGGTCATAACGATGGTCAGCCAGTGACGTCAGTGACTGCGGTGCGATCGATTATGGTTTACGTAACGAGAACCAGAGCGTATTCTGATTGTCAAGCGAGCGCGCCATGTAACGCGATTAGGTGAATGTGCAAGTTATGATTCGCGTTGTAACTTTGGGACAGATTCGTCACAGATCCTCCCCTGATATTCCAGCCCAAGATTATGTCTCGTCAAGAAATAAGAACCTCCCGAAAATTATTATAGTTTGTTGCATAAAGAGTTTTACTCTGCGATAGCAATTATTTCTATCATTAAAAAAAGGTTGTTATTATTAAATATTATTAGAAAAATTATTTCAATTATCAAATAATTATTATATATTAGATAATATATAATTATTATATAAGTTCTATTACATTCTATTATTAAGTGTTTTATTTCTCCGATATAATTTTATAATTTTATAAAAGAAAGAGGGAGAGGGAGAGGGAGAGGGAGGGGGAGGGGGAGGGAGGGAAAGAGAGAGAGTGTGTGTGTGTGTGTGTGTGTGTGTGTGTTATGTTGTTGCATACATGTATTTCCGATAATCTTCTTACAACATCGTTGTTGATTATTCTATATAACTTCACGCAACGGTCTCGCGAATTTTGGCGAACAATCCCGCAATTTGACTCGAGGTTCACTGGGTAGTACATTACGTTTGCATAGGTGCGCACGAATTTATCGACGGTAAAATAGATTTGCGCTTCTCGTGGCAGTAATGTTCTTGATTAAGCCGAATGAATTACGCTGATATTATTGCCGTGAAATAATAATATTACCCCCGGTATTATCGGCTAATGCCGCCATTTGCATTAACGTCGGCACCTGCTAATTGGCATCGCCCATCGCGTTTTGTCTATTTGCCGTACGTGTTACACGGACCGTCCGATTATGCTAATCACCGTCGAATAATAACGCGTCTGCCGTTTAAATAAATCTACCTAATTTGGTGAGAGATATTCGTGAGAAAAAATATTTTTCCATATAGTCTCGTCCTTGTCTACAAATTTCCTAATCTAAAGTCGATTGGAAATCCGGGAAACTACTTATAGATTTTGATTAAGAATTTCTGAAATCATTTCTAAAATCGTTAGGCGAGGAAAGATCGTTTTACCTAAATACTAAATTTTAGTCGCGCAAAAGTCATTTCAAAGACGTCATCGAGGGTTGGGAAATAGTGGAGAGGATTTTGCATTATGCGACGCTTCATGATAACCATGGATAGCTTGGATGCAACCTTGGCACGTTTCTGGCGGATCGATAACGCAGCATGGCAGAGATGAATCGGTGGTCAAAAGTCCCGGGAAAAGGGGTCCGTTGGTTACGTAGCACCCGGTAGCG